TCAATAGCTAAGATGAGAGATATTAAAGCCTAGCATGAAGACATAGCAGTTTATTTCAAATACGTGAGACATTTAATAGATATTAAGAGATTACTTATATAATAATTAATTTGCAGTCAGGAACACAAGTGAGGAATCCAAGGCTACTTTTCTTCGGAAAGTCTCTAGTGCAATCATCCTAGATAAATAAGGAATTGAAAAGGAAGATGAGGACAATGAAAGAGTTCAGTTACTTCTAGTGGAACTTAACGTATCTATGAGTGTTCAGGTGAAAAGGATTGAAGCTCAGATCTTACTTTAAGGTGTACACTTGATGATCACAGAACGGTTGTTGAAATTAAAAACTTTACTCATAAAGGATAGTACTTAAAATGTGTTATAGTCGGCAGAATCCAGTACAGAATCCTGCACACATCTACTTTGAATGAATAGGCATAAGAAGAGGATGATAAGGGTGATATTTGAAGTAGTAATCATAGAAGAAAGCAGGGAGTCAGAATTGTCTGGTTTCAAAGCATAGAGGAAGGAACAAACTTTGAATAAGAAAGAGTAAAGTCACAGAGAGTTAACTAAGAGAAAAAATAAGAAATAGACACTAAATTTGGCCTGCCATTGATTCCATCATGAGGTGTGTCACTGGAATGACAAACATTCATGACTGCAAGACAAATGTGTGTTGAAAAAGGAAATGAGAAGTACTTAAAGAGCTTGACTTAAAAGTCAGAAATTAATAGAGATGATAGGAATATTGATACTTTGCCTATTTATAGACTGAGGGAAAACCAGCTGATACTAATGGAGAAGAAGGGATTGAAAGCGCATAAGTGAAAAGGTGATAAAACAAGGCCAGCAGGAGACCAGGGAGGTGACGTTTGTCCCACACATTGAGGAATCACACTTGAATAAAAGGACAGACTTCTTTTCCTCTGAGACTCGTAGGAAAGAAGCGTGGATGTTATTGCATGGATAAAACTTTGAAGTTTTGTATTCTAAAGAACTCATCTGTAATAACTTAAATTTTCTTAATGCTATGGAAAACAGGAGCTAGTACTAAGCATCAGAGAAAAAGAATTGGGACAGCAATGGTTGAATAATTTGGTGATGGAGAAATATGGATGTTTGGAATAGTTCCTCCGGGAAATGGGAAGTGAAACTGTCCAGCATGAAGTCTGAAGAATTCAAAACAAATGAGGATGCAACATGACCATGGATCCCATATCGCTAATGACAACCTGACAGATCATAAAATTTTATACTGTGACATTCTGCAGTTCAACTGTAGGAGTGCTGAAGATGGATGGTTGATTTCTAGCTTCTAGACCCTGACTGCAGGACCAGTGAGGGAGCAAGGAAGCAAGTGAGACAAGGATACTGGCGGGAAAGTGGTTATGGGGATGCCTTGCAGAATCTAACTTGAAGATGAATGGAAGCCAAATGAGAAATGCTGATAGATAGAGAGAAAAAAAGAAAGTTGAAAGACTGAAGATCTTTAGGCAGATGAGGTGCAGTGATTATAGGGACTAAAAGATACAAAATTCTAGTGAAAGAATGAAATACATGGCATTTAGTATTTTGGGGAAAGAATGATAATGATTATGCTGAGGAAATAGTCATGATAGTGTGTAAGAGAAGCTGAGAGGACACTTGAGTTAGTATTTGAAAGTGAAACGTTTTGAGATATCTGTGTTGTGTTTTCTATCAAGACATTGGGGCTTCCCACGTGGCACTAGTGGTAAAGAATCTGCCCGCCAATACAGATGATACAAGAGATGCAGGTTTGATCCCTGAGATGGGAAGATCCCCTGGAGTATGAAATGGCAATCTACTCAAATAGTCTTGCCCAGAAAATTCCATGGATAGAACAGCCTGGAGGGCTACCGTCCATGGTGCCACCAAGAGTCAGACATGATTGAAAACACACACCAAGATGTTGATAGGGCTAAATATTAATAAAATGATGCATGTGAACTTTTTGATACAAAAATTAGGTATGCAACAAATAATCTTCTGTAGATGATAATAATAACTTTTAGAATTAAAGATACACAGATATTAGATGTTGTAGGAACTCACATTACTTTCCTATAGGTTGGAAATTTACAGTCTCTCAGAATTCATTTGTTTTTTGAACCTAATGCCCAAGGTGGGATCTTTGGGGGATGATTAGTTCATGAAAGTGGAGCCTTCACTAGTAGGTTGGCGGCCTTATAAAAGAGGTCCCAGAGATACCCTCTACACCTTCAACTATGTGAGGACACAGCAGCAACTCATTAGTCTGCACCCCAGAAGAGGGCATTCACAAGAATCTAACCATGCTGATACCCTCAACTTGCACTTTCAACCTACCTCCAGAACTGAGAAATAAATTTCTGTCATTTACAAGCCACCGAGTCTGTGGTATTTTATTGCAGCAGCATGAATGGACCAAACCATATTAGTCTTAAGTATTCTAAGGATCTGGTTTCCTCGATGGCTCAGCAATATAGAATCTACTTGCAATGCGGGAGACACAGGAGACAGATTGGAAAGATCCCCTGGGGGAGGAAATGGCAACCCACTCCAGTATTCTTGCCTGGGAAATGCCATGGACAGAAGATCCTGGTGGGCTACAGTCCAAGGGACCACAATGAGTCAGACATGATTCAGCAACTGGGCATGCACACACACAAACACACAAATCCTAATGTCATTTGAAAAATATAAAAGTCAGAAGAAACATCTGCAGTCTACTCTTCCAAATTGGCATGGATAGAACCAATAGTTCAAAAAGTTAGTTGAAAGAACAAATATTTTACAAAAAATTAATGCATGCAAAAATATATAGACCGTATTTACCAAATCCCTCCCCACCAAATTTTCTATCTACTTTAAGTGTTTTGGAGCAAATTTAATTCCATTTTTAATTTTACCTGAAATCAGGGGGATTTGGTTTAAGTTGCATTGATTGTGTAATGATTATACTGTATCTTCTCATCAAAATTGGAATGTTTTGTCACTTTTTAAAATATGTATATACTAGAGAGATTGAAAAAAGCATTCAAAACAACTGCAAAGAAGTTTTTATAAACTCAAAGACAACTCTATATGAGTCCTTTTCCAGCACTTTACACTTTACATCTTTATTTCCTTACATTTCTCACCTTTTACAATGACTCTGAAAGCCATTTTTCCTTCATGCATATGGTGATTATTAAAATGTGTGTCACATTCTAATGATCACTCTTTGAATTTTGCAAGACAGAGGACTAGAATATTAAAATTAAAAGTTTTATCTCAAATGACAACATGCATTGCTATGAAAATTTAGAGTATTTTTTTTCATTCAAGCTTGTAATGATTTGACTTTTATCATTTAAATGACTATTGAGAAAATGGAGTGGAAGATTAAAAATTATCTGATACATATATACTGCTTAAACAACAAGCAATTCAGAAGAAAATTATACCTGTCTTCTTGATAGCAGACTGGGTCCATGAATCATGCAGAAGGTGGGCTTGTGCTGTCACTGAATGGCCTCAGCCTACGCTGGAGGTTTTCAGGTGAAATCATAAGGGCTAGGGTTCTCATTCGGGGAACACACTTTATTAATAAAGGAGCGTTCACCCCTCAACATCTTCCATGCCTTTACTCCCATTTTGACACATCAATTGGTCACACCTTCCTTTTTTTTGTTGTTAGATTGTAAGAATTTTAGTTCCAAGGACAATTTTTCAAATGTTATCAGTGATTGAAAACAAGTGCTTATAATGAAAGTAGATTTGCAATCTTCAGTCTGGCGTTTATAGCTCTGAATGCTATAATTATGAAACCATCCATGTGTGCGCTTTCATAACATATTATGACACAAGATTACATTCCAAGTCAAGATTATTCCCCAGGATAGTGGTCTAAAATATGACTTTTCTCCTTTTTCTCTCCACAATATTCCAAATTAGAGTTTAGCCAAAAAGAAGCCAAGGGGGACTTAACAAAAAAACCTCTCCATTCACTGAAAGTAGCTTGCTACCATTTTCCTTCCTATGAAGGTGTTGCGACAAAACTTTCTCTACTTATAAAAATGTTTATTGTGAGGTATACAGGAGGTATAATAGTGAAATAAGGGACAATTTTCCCTACACACATCCATCAAGCATCCACTACTAAAAAGGAAACAGTTATTAGACACTGTACCCATCAGATATTAAAACATGACATTTTTAGTATCCCACTTCAAATCTTTAACCTAGTAGAAAGCACTGCCAAATGGAACATGTAGGAAGACTACCTCAGGGTTTTTAGAGCTCTGTCATTTTGCATGTGCGTCATAATGGAGAGTGGTGGGGTGAGTGACTTTTTTCTCATTGAACTTTCATAAGCAATGATCATTTGTGTTGTCCTTTATTCACTAATAGGTTTAAAAGGGGAATTCAAAGACAGTTAACCGTGAAACCATCTGGTAGTGGATTAACTCTCAGGCAGGTTTTAAAATCCCCATGTGCCCAGATACTGGAAAACAATGTTTTCTTTCTTTTTATTTACTCTATTGGTGCCCCTTTAAAAAAAATGTTAATATGCTTTGGGGCAGAAGGACAAATGAAATCATTTAACAGAGAGAGAGAAAAAAAAGAAACTACATATTTCACAGAATAATATTTCTGGGTACTAGAGTTTTATGTCATGGACTTGGAATTTTCTCTTTGAATTTGAGAATTTCTTGAGAATTTCTCAGTTTTGTTCAAACGATGTATGTACAAACCCAGCCTGCGTGTGTTTTGTCGTTGCTGCTCACCGCCCCTCACACTAATACATATTTTAAGTTCTTCCAAAGTCTTAGTAGTGACCAAATGAACCATGCGGAAGAGCCGAAAGAACTCCAAAACAAAAGAAAGAAACCTTGAGTTAGAAACCTCATTTCCACAGTTAGGAAAACCAACCTTTCCCCTTGCTCTTCCAGGAACACTCTCTCCAGATTCCCCCAAGAGCTTGCCATCTTCTCTCTGCTCCCCGTTTTCCTCATAAGGTCATCACATGTGCAAGCCCGGCATCCCGAGTGTCCGCCGTGTGCCAGCTGCTGTCATTAAGAACCAGGAAGCACCGTTCCTCCTGGGATGCCGTCAGACACTCTATGTGACTGCAGCTGTCAGCCCAGCGCTGCGGCTTCCTGCTTCATGGCTTCAGGGGCTTACTCTGGCTCTGCGAAGACCAGCATCACTGAAAGAGCCCGGCACCTTGGACACACAGCCCGCCTGCCTTGCTCTGGGCAGCTGGTTCCAACACTTGGCAGATGGATACAGATTGTGATGAACTCTAGTCAGTTGACATTATTTCTCAGTTAGAGGGATTATGGTTCTTTCCATTTTTGGAAACCTCACCAGAAACTGATTTCCTGGTTCCTAAGTAGCTCAGCCACTGATCAATCAGACTTCCTAAGGTTTATTGTGTGTTGGCCAAACCTGTGTGAAAATTCATTCTCCATCCTCCTGGACCTAAGGGACTCCAAAATCTGCTTGAGCTTTGGGGGAGACCCTGCTGTCCAAGAAGAGCCTAGAATCTTCAGTTCAGTTCAGTCGCTTGTGTCTGACCCTTTGTGACCCCATGAACTGCATCATGCCAGGCTTCTCTATCCATCATCAACTCTTGGAGCCTGCTTAAACTCATGTCCATTGAGTTGGTGATGTCGTTCAACCATCCCATCCTCTGAAGTCCCCTTCTCTTCCTGCCTTCAATATTTCCCAGCATCAGGGTCTTTTCAAATGAGTCAGCTCTTTACATCAGGTGGCCAAAATATTGGAGTTTCTGCTTCAACATCAGTCCTTCCAATGAACATTCAGGACTGATTTCCTTTAGGATTGACTGGTTTGATTTCCTTGAGGTCCAAGGGACTCTCAAGAGTCTTCTCCAACACCACAGTTCAAAAGCATCAATTCTTCAGTGCTCAGCTTTCTTTATAGTCCAACTCTCACATCCATACATGGCTACTGGAAAAACAATAGCTTTAACCAGACAGACCTTTGTTGGCAGAGTAACGTCTCTGCTTTTTAATATGCTATCTAGGTTGGTCATAGCTTTTCTTCCAAGGAGTAAGCATCTTTTAATTTCATGGCTGTGGTCACCAATTGCAGTGATTTTGGAACCCAAGAAAATAAAGTCTGTCACTATTTCCATTGTTTCCCCATCTATTTGCTATGAAGTGATGGGACCAGATGCCATGATCTTAGTTTTCTGAATGTTAAGCTTTAAGCCAACTTTTTCACCCTCCTCTTTCACTTTCATCAAGAAGCTCTTTAGTTCTTCTTCGCTTTCTGCCATAAGTGAGGTGTCATCTGCATATGTGAGGTTATTGATATTTCTGCCAGCTATCTTGATACCAGTTTGTGCTTCATCCAGTCCAGCATTTCTCATGATGTACTCTGTATATAAGTTAAATAAGCAGGGTGAAAATACACAGACTTGACGTACGTCTTTCCCTATTTGGAACCAATCTGTTGTTCCATGTCCAGTTCTAACTGTTGATTCTTGACCAGCACACAGATGTCTCAGGAGGCAGATCAGGTTGTCTGGTATTTCCGTCTCTTGAAGAATTTTCCATGGTTTGTTGTGATCCACACAGTCAAAGGCTTGGGTGTAGTTAATAAAGCAGAAGATGTTTTTCTGGAACTCTCTTGCTTTTTTGATGATCTAGCGGATGTGGACAATTTGATCAACGGTTCCTCTGGCTTTTCTAAATCCAGCTTGAACATCTGGAAGTTCATGGCTCATGTACTGTTGAAGCCTGGCTTGGAGAATTTTGAGAATTACTTTGCTAACATGTGAGATAATTACAATGGTGTGGTAGTTTGAACATTTTTTGTTATTGCGTTTCTTTGGGATTGGAATGAAAACTGACCTTTTCCAGTGCTGTGGCCACTGCTGAATTTTCCAAAGTTGCTGGCATATTGACTGTAGCACTTTGACAGCATCATCTTTCAGGATTTGAAATAGCTCAACTGGAATTCCATCACCTCCCTTAGTTTTGTTCATAGTGATGCTTCCTAAGGCCCACTTGACTAGAAACTTGAAGGAAGTAGGAGAGCTCATAATCCTTTCTTTTCAGGGCATCCAAAATGTACAGAAATGAGGGGAGAAAGCAAGTATGGAAGAGAAAATTAACTTAAAATTCCCAGTACCAAGGCAGCCATAGACCCAGTCTGGGTTCCCAAGGTGCAAAGTGGGAGCTCTCAGACCTGATACCCTTCTTATCAGATGATACAATACTTAGAAAATATGATACTCACCCTGCTGAAACAATTTGTTAACAAATAAAACTTCTACAGAGATTTTGCTCATGATCCATGACCTCGCTTAGCAAAATAATGCACAAAAGCTGGCTATCCGCACAGTCTCAGAGTCCCTGTGGAGCAGTGGTGCATATTCAGAGGCTCTGAAGCCCCATGTGTCTCTTGCATAAACTCTCAAGTCCTCTCGTTTCCATACAAGGATACTGTATTATTCTAGACTCCACAGGGATGACATAATTGTGTAACCCTTCTGGCAGAGCACGGATTGCAAATGAGGCCACAGAGTCACATGACACAGATGTGAGTTAGGTCAGCAAACTGTCCCAGTTCTAGAATTACAGATGGCTTCTAAGAAAAAATAAGAAACATACATCTCTGAGCATGGATGCATATTAAATATATAATCCTTCTATATTTTGGGAATATCAGTTGTTTCATTTGTTGTTATGGGCAGCTGATGGAAGTATATAGCCTGAATAATACTTTTTTAAACATCAAATTACTTTATCCATTAGGCAAACATGTGGTTTTGTTCATTAAGCGTATTATAAAATAGGGAATTTTTCACTGGAGTCTACTTAAATAAAATTCATTTCATGTGATAAGTAAGACAGTGATATTTCTCTTTTTTCCCCTACTTTTTTACATTGTGAAGTAATTAAGAGGAGGTGATAATTTGTTTCACAAGTTTAATTTCTGGCGATAGGATCTAAGGAAACAGGATCGTTTTTCTTAAAAAATCAGATTAAGTAACTGGAAGCAAATTTAAAATTTTTGCATTTATACTGGGCACTGAAAGAAGAAAAATTTAGAAATGAAAGCTTGTCAAATCTCTACTGTTTATGATAAGTCCAATCCACACTGCATAGATTGTGGTTTTCTGGAGACGACTTCTCAATTAGCAGTTTTTACTTCTGCCTTTTCAGTCTAAAGTTTGGCCTTCCAATCAACACAATTATGTTAACATGTAGGTACTTTATAACCAAACACCCAAAATGTACTTCCAGAGAATTTGAATCTCATATCAAATACGTTCAAATTTTCTCTCCTGTAGCACAGTGAAAAAACAGACCAACTATTTTTGTAAGTGATACTTTAACACAAAACCAGAACTCCACCCCTTTTTTTTGGTTTTTTTGCAGTCATTATTTGCATCTCTCATCTGAAACTCAAAAATGGCCTTGCTCTGCAAGTCAGCCTTCCAGATGGGCAGGTGTAACTTCTCCTAGTAATCTTTTTTGAAGACAGAAAATATATTTTATCCTTTCAGTTCTCCATACTATACCAGTAAGTGAGCAATCATATTATTTTCAACTTAATAATTAGGCATACATGGCTGGCTAAAAGAAGATGTGCTAAATGGAGATTGGTGTTCATTTGTATTCCCACATGATAATCTAGACTAACAAGTGAATACATATAAAATACATAATGAAAAAACTCAAGGCTATATGTGTGTCTCTTAAAACACCAGAAATGCAGCCCAGATTCTTAGTAGAAATGGGAGAACGTCATCAAGAGAATGTGCAATATTTTTAAATTTTGTTTTTTACCTTTCTCTCTCTCTCTCCACCTTTCTTCCTACAAAACAAATTTCTCTGCTTCTCATTTCCTGCGACAAACAGAAGATAATCACTGCAGTATTTTAAATTTACTACTTATTTCAAGAAACCTTTTCAGAATAATCTGGAATACCTCAGTTTAGCTTAAAATCTCAAAGTGTAGGAAACTGGGTGACCCCCTTGGACCAAGGAACTAACCCTAGTGGCTGAGTGGAAAGTGTGTTGGTCTAGTAATACCCTTGAATGCTAAATGAGAGTGGGTTGTCCTTTCCTCCTACCCAAGGTACTTTACTTAAAAGTGAAATACTCTTCCACTGAGGATAATTCACTTTATCAGAGAAAAAGGTGAGTAATTTGTGCTCAAGTGCATGTGCAGCTGCTAATATTAATACTAGCTTGGCTTTCTCTGTTTGATCTATATAGAGTGGCTTGTAAACTCTAAATAAAACAAAAAGAAAGAAATTATCATTCTTGCCAGCTTCCTGTCCTTTTTCTAAACACAAGGACCCAGGAATTGAAGCTTTTATCATGAATCATCTCATGCATTATTTTTTGAAAACCAAGATATCTGCCTCACTTAAATTTAGGTTAAATTAAGATGTAGACTTTTTTATACTTTAGTATCTATTGAATTACTGACAAAAATGTATAAAGAAATCCATAATAGTAGTTCTTACAGTTATTACTATTTGTGAAATTTAAATAATTTTCCCTTGACAACTCCCTTTTAAGTTCATTTATTCTCTTGACAAATAATTCATTGCATCTCAAATATGTGCCAGGCACAGTCTGGGAGACTTAAAGTTTAAAAATGAATCAAAGAAAGATCTTACCTGCATAAAGTTTACACTGCAGGGGAGGTTAATGACTAAAAAATTAAAACTTGGCAATAAATGGAATAATTCGTTCATACAAGCACTATGCAGAAACCCAATACAGGTTAGGGATTTAGTGGAACTGCGTGGGTGAAGGGCTATGGATACAGGATGGTAAGGAACAGCCCCTCTAAAGAGGAGACTCAGAAAGAGCTGAAGGTAGCCAGTGGAGTCCAATGGATCTTTGGTAACAGTGTTGACCAAGGCCCTGAAACTGGACAGGTTTTGTGGTTGAAAAGAGCTGAGACCAGTATGCGATGGTCTTTGAATGATGGGAAGGAAGAGCTTAGGAAATGTGGGTTGAGAGAGAGAACAGAAAGGAGATGGGGTCAGAGCTTTATGTTGGGCTGCTTTGCATTCGTGCTCACTCTTGTTACTCTTGCCATAGAATTCCCCAGGCAAGAATACTGCAGTGGGTTGCCATGTCCTTCTTCGGGTAATCTTCCTCACCCAGGGATCTACCCCATGTCTCTTGCATTGGCAGGTGGATTCTTGGCTCCGTGGTAAAGAATCCACATGCAATGCAGGAGACGTGAGTTCCAAATCTTGGAAAATCTCATGGATAGAGGAGCCTGGCAGAATTTAGT